CATGGTGAGAACCAGGCTGACTACAAACTCATTCATCCAGGGTGCGACAGCTGCCTTGTGATCCGGGGCTCTTTTTTTGCCAACACTGTTTATCTTCTCTGTCCACAGCATCTTAATCAGTGTGGCTCAAATCTGCCAGGAAGCATCTCCTATGCTTCCTGCTGCCCATCAGTTTCAGCTGCTCTGGAGGTAACTCCTTGCCCCTTGGGGCTCCCCTAGACCCAAGTCTAACTTTAAGGATGATCCTTCAAGGTGTTTTCAAATAACATGATAACAGAGACTTAATTTTGTTCACACAGATTTTTACTTCCTTGTCCGAGCCACCTAAAAGGGACTGGAGGGATTTCCCTGGTGGCCTAGTGGTTAGGATTCCAGGCTTTCATGGCCATGGCCCAGGTTCAGTCCCTGGTCAGGGAACTGAAATCCTGCAAGTCATGTGGCGTGGCACAAAAAAATAAAGGAACTGCGGTTAACCCCCAGTGGTGATTGTGAAAGGGCCTGAATTAGTGGGAAGAAAAGGAAGAGGGTGTACATCTGGGGTGATTAGGAAAGGCTTCAGGGAAGATGGGGCATTTGACCTGTGACTTTGGAGACAGAGAAAGACATTCCAGACAGAGGAATAGCATGGGCACAGACGTGGAGGCCTGAGAGAGGATGCAGGGCTCCCAGAACCCTAAGTTGTTTGGTGTTATAGAAGCCTAAGGTATTACGTTGAGCAGGAGGAGGTGGTGTGCTGGAGAGGTGAGCACATACAAGCCCCTGAGGATCTCAGAAACAGAGACTTCTTCCTGGAGGTTTCAGTGTTCCAATGTGTTTTCCCCAAACACCAGACCATAGAACTCTCAGCTCCTGAAGAGGGTTTCTGTACCCTCATGTGGAGACTTCCACCAACATATGCTAATTTTATAAAGGCTCTGCTAAAATGAATAGTAACTTCCTGTGAGTCTGCAGGGCACCCAGGCAATGCTCCAAGCATACAGCAGGCATCACTGAATTTGACCCGAATTTGATCACAACCCTATAAACTATGTAATGTTTTATTATTCCTATTTTATAAAAAGGTAAAGACATTTTTTAGGGAGGTTAAGGTCACACAGCTAGTAAGTAGTAGAGTTAAGATATGAACTTGAATAGTCTGATTTTGAGCTTCCTGGAGTAAAGAACTAGCTTAATTTTGTTTCATCCAAATTATAGTTTTTGCCCAGCTAGTAACATTGCAAGGCAATTGATTCTGTGGACAATGGGGAGCTTTTAAAGGGTTCTTATCCAGGAGCCTTTCTATTTGATTTGTAAATATCCTTAGTATGCTCGTTATCAGTCACTTATACTTTAGTGTGAATTAGTCTTTTCCTGCGCTCTAAGTTGCTTTAGTCGTATCTGACTCTTTGCGGCCCTATGGACTGTAGCCCGCCAGGCTCCCCTGTATATGGGGTTTCCCAGGCAAGAATACTGGAGTGGGTTGCCATTTCCTCCTCGAGGGGATCTTCACCACCCAGAGATCAAAGCCAAGTCTCTTACGTCTCCTGCATTGGCAGGCAGATTCTTTACCACTAGTGCCACCTGAGAGGTCCTTTCCTACAGCACCTCAATATTCTTATCAGCTCCCTGAGAGCAAGTATTGTATCAACTCGTTGCTATGTCTCCAGTACCCAGGAGGGATGACATGAGAGGGTGCGATAAGAATATTTGCTTGGGTCTTCCCTGGTGGCCCAGTGGATAAGAATCTACCTGCCAGTGCAGGAGAAATGGGTTCCATCCCTGATCTGAGAAGATTCCACACGCCGAGGGCAGCTAAGCACATGTGCCACGACCACTGAGCCTGCACACCCTAGAGCCTGTGCTCTGCAACAACAGAAGCCATCACAATGGGAAAGCCTCTCACTGCAATGAAGAGTAGCCCCCTCTCTCCACAACTAGAGAAAGCCTGTGCAAAAGCAACAAAGACCCAGCTCAGCCAAAAATTAAAAATATGTGTGTAAATTAATTAGCTTAAAAAAAAGAATATTTGCTTAAATGAGTTGTAACCCCCCCTATTGAAGACAGTGGAAGCAATGGAAAGGAAGGCCTGGAGCCTGGGAGGTGGCTGCGTCAGAGTGTGAGGGACAGGAGATAGGAATAGTTGTCGGGGCACCATGGGAATCTAGAGTCTTGGAGCCAAAACAGAAAGCAAGACTCACCTACTTCATGGTTAAAGGCCAGGGTTGCACATCGACCAGCCTAGACAGCATATTAAAAAGTAGAGACATTACTTTGCCAACAAAGGTCCATCTAGTCAAAGCCATGGTTTTTCCAGTAGTCATGTATGGATGTGAGTGTTGGACTATAAAAGAAAGCTGAGCGCCGACGTATTGATGCTTTTGAACTGTGATTCAAAGACTCTTGAGAATCCCTTGGACTGCAAGGAGATCAAACCAGTTCATCCTAAAGGAAATCAGACCTGAATATTCATTGGAAGGACTGATGCTGAAGCTGAAACTCCAATACTTTGGCCACCTGATATGAAGAACTGACTCATTTGAGAAGAGCCTGATCCTGGGAAAGATTGAAGGCAGGAGGAGAAGGGGATGACAGAGGATGAGATGGTTGGATGGCATCACCGACTCGATGGACATGAATTTGAGTAAGCTCTGGGAGTTGGCGATGGGTAGGGAAGCCTGGCGTGCTGCAGTCCATGGGCTCGCAAAGAGTCATACACGACCCAGTGACTGAATTGAACTGAACTGCACACTGATCGAAATGCAAATCCAAATATCTACTCAGAATGTTTTCTCTTCTAGGCAGCAGCTACATCACCTGCTCAATTGGAAAATGAGGCATTTGTTGGAGCTGAAGGTGTTATTAGTAGATTCTTGGTTTTAAGAGTAGGAGTTGGGAGGGGAAAAAAAAACTCTCAGACCTGTATCCACACCCATACTTCTAAAGTTACTGGAAAAGAGCAATATATTTGGAAAGAAAAGAAAGTGAAAGTCACTCAGTCATGTCTGACTCTTTGTGACCCCATGGACTGTAGCCTGCCAGGCTCCTCTGTCCATGGGATTCTTCAGGCCAGAATACTGGAGTGAGTAGCTGTTCCCTTCTCCAGGGGAGCTTCCCAACCCAGGAATCGAACCCAGATCTCCCACATTGCAAGTGGATTCTTTACTGACTGAACTACCAGGGAAGAGATTTGGAAGGTTGGCTTATGGCACTGAGGGATCCTTAGAAAGCACCTAGGCTGTTTCTCTCATTCTATGGAAGACAAGACTGAGGTCCAGAGAAGGCAAGTTCACAGAGCTGGTTGAGACTGGAGGGTCCCCTCCCTGTTGGGGGCTCTGCCCAAGGCTTCAGGGCCTGCACCACTGTGCCCTCCCCCAAAACCCCTGGCAGTTCCTTGGCTCTGCCACCTTTTCAGGGGAGGCAAACTTGTGCACACACCACCCACCACAGACCCACAGACCCAAGCTCTCTGCTGTCACCTGACTGCCCTAATGAGATTACAGTCTCCTAGTGAAATAGAGCGTTAATTCCCTCTGGCTTTAAAGGGCAGGCCAGGCCACAAGAAATAGCAAAAAAACAACCAAACAAACCAAAAACCAATAAATAAACAAACCCCCCTCAAAACAAACAAACAAAAACCACCTTTATCTCTAATGCTGAATACAGATGATAATCCTAATAGCCTCTCCCTGCCGGGCACGTTACACCTCACCCCTGCTTTCATGAATGTGTTCTGAGTAGAATGTTGCACCAGCCCTAAGGAAGTACATGGTGATTGTTATGTCCATTTTGTTGGGGAAACTGGGGGCCTGTGATTAAATGGCTGTCCTGGATCACATGGCTAGCAAGTGGCAGAGCTGGGACTTGAATGTAGATCCCTTGGACATTGTCATCTCTAAAAACAATAAGCCCTGAGACCCTCCCAGGTTCCCAGCTTCAGGCTTAAAGCACCCTGAAGGACAATGGGTAGCAGAGCCTAAGTTTGATCTCAGGTCCACTGGACTCAAACCCTACATTCCTGGGCTTCTCTGGTGGTTCAGTGGTTAAGAATCCACTTGCCAATGCAGGGGACATGGGTTTGATCCCTGGTCCAGGAAGATCCCACATGCCACAGGGCAACTAAGCCTATACACCACAACTACTGAAGTCCACGCTCTAGAGACTGTGCTCCGAAACAAGAAAAGCCACTACAGTGGGAAGCCTTACACCACAACTAGAAAGTAGCCTCCACTTGCAGCAACTAGAGAAAGCCCATGCATGGCAATGCAGATCCCGTGCAACACCCCCAAATTAATTTTTTTTTTTTAATTTACAAAAAAATCCTACATTCCCTACAATACTGGAAAGGACCAGTGAACTCATCCACCTGTTCATGTGGTGGAAACCAAACCAACAAATTCCACTCTGCCACTTGCTAGCTCTAGGCCTGTGGCCAAAGGGACTCTGGCTCCCTGGGGTCTCAGTCTCCCTTTCAGTAAAATGAAGGTTGGAACCCAAGACTGTTGGGATGATTCCCGATGATTCACACAGATAACACAACTTGAACAGGCCTGCCACACAGCATGCTTGCTTTTGCCCTACCTCTCTTTGCTCCATCTGTAAAATGATGCTAACAATACTTACTTGTTAGCTCTGCTAGGTAGCTATTATTATTAGTTTATTGTTGCTTATTACTGTTACTTATTGTCTTGCCTTCAGTTCTTTCTGGAATGAAGCGGAGGTAAAAATCCAACCGACCAAACATTCCTCTGGTTCCTCCCACCAGTTCCCGGTCCTCTCCCCTCTTTAAGAGGAGCACTTGGCTTAGAGGTCTGAACCCCCAACCACGTGGCCTGCTCTAATTTCCCAGGCTCTAATCTGCTCCTAGCTCCTAATGATGCAGCTGGTAATAGGATTGTGGCTTCCCTCTGGGGCAGCCACGCAGGCCATGGCTGTGCGACTGGCGACTGGCGCTTAGCAACCTCAACCACCTGCCTGTTGAGCAGCAGGAGCCAGGACCCTGTGACCGGGCTGGCCTCCCGTGCATGGAATGGTGCTGTGCCCCGGGCCAGCAGGCTGGGCTCGCCATGGTGCTGGGTGCCATCCTGGCACGTGGGAGGGATGTGTGCAAGCGGAATGGACTGCTCATCCTGTCTGTGCTCTCTGTCACCGTGGGCTGCCTCCTTGGCTTCTTCTTGAGGACCCGGCGCCTCTCACCCCAGGTCAGCCATGCTGGGCACCATGGGTCCCCATCTCAGAGGGCTGGGTGGGCCTGAGGGATCTGGGGGTCACGCTCCCACTCCATGGCTCCTGGGTGACGTGACAGTGAGTGAGTCACTTTTCATCTTAGGGTCCCAGTTTCCTCATCTGTAAAGCGGAGTGTGATAAATGCATGGCAGGACAAGAGTGTGAGAGGGAGTGGCTACACACTGGCATCTCCAGGTGAATGAGAGGCGAGGGTACCTTGTGAGAGTGCCCACAAGCTAAGAGCTGTGGGGGAGGGAGGAGTAGTCTGCTGTTGTTCAGTCACCAAGTCGTGTCCGACTCTTTGTGACCCCATGGACTGCAGCACGCCAGGCTTCCCCGTCCCTCACCATCTCCTGGAGTTTGCCCAAGTTCAGGTCCACTGAATCGGTCCACGCGGAATGGAGCCTATAAGTGTGCAAAGCAGGCATTAGAGACCACCTCCTAAAGCAGTTCACGGGGCATTCTAGGCAGAGGTAACAGCAGGAGTGGTGAGACAGAGGGCCATGGAAGATTCGTGAGGGGGGGCGGAGCGAACTATTCACAGCAGCTGGAATGGACACCGTGAGTCTGGGGCTGGAGCACAAAGGCCATCAGGCTTCTAGATCCCATCACCCAGCACTGACTTAGGGCAACCTCGAGGAGCTCTGAGCAGGGCATTGATATGGTGAGACCTGAGCTTGGAGACATCCCTCTGGTGCTGAGTGGAGGATCCCTCTGGAGCTGAGTAGGACTGGCAGGGGGCAGTGAGGGGATGAGACGTGAGAGTGGGGATGAACAGAGAAGATATGAGAACTGCTTCCCAAAGAAGCTTTAGGATGTGGTGGCTGATTGAATGTGGGGCTGGGGACGGGGAGATAAGGTAGGCCTTCAGGGCTCTGGCCTGTGTAACAGCAAGGGTGATGATGCCTTGCCCGGGGAAGGGCCGTTTTCTCAGTTAGCACCCAGCTCCCATGGGAGAGGGAGGGACTCTCATGGTGTTGAAGGAAAAACTATCACGATGCTGTTAAAACAGTAAGGAGGACTTTATTCAGGACTATTGTGATAGGTGTCAAGACCACGGGAGTAGGGGAGAGTGATCAGGCGCAACAACAGAAGCTGGGGACTTATAGCTGATGAGTGCAGTGCAGAGGTCAGTGAACAGACAGTTACTAAGAGACATCAAGGGTAGGGTAGGGGGATTCTTGCTAAACTCACTAACAAGATGCTTGCTGAAGGCAGAGTTGGGGGCTTCTCACTAAATTGACTTAGCAGGATTTTTGCTACAAATAGGTGAAGCAGGATGAAGAAAAGGCCCAAGGATGAGGCTCAGTTGAAAAGAGGACTCAGAATAACCTGTCTAAAGTTTGGTCAAGGAGAGAGTTTTTGTCAATGGGTTTCTGGAAGATTCCCTATCTCATAGAATTTCTCTCTCTGCAGTTCAGTAATATGATCTCTACAACTGGGGCTCAAGGCATCAGATTTCATCATCCAGGAGAAGGAAAACATCCCTCTCTGGGAATCGAGCCCACTATTATGATAGTGACACTGTTAAACTGCTATCAGCTATTTAGGGAGAAGCATGGACTCTGGAGGCAGATGAACTCTGAACTTTGTCTCTACTAGTAATGGCTGTGTGGCCATAGGCAAGATCCTATCTCCTTTCTGGGGCTCAGTTTCCTTATCTGCAAAATGGAGGGGGTGGGACTATATGTCTGCTAGAATTGCTGCGAAGGGTAAACAGGGAATCATCAGTGACCAGATGCAGTGGGTGCTTAGTGAGCGTTACTTCACTCCTCCTTCCCTTACCTATGAGTCCAGGTGCTACCAAGAACCACCTCATATATCCCAAATCTGATAGAAATTCTTCCAGACCTGCCCACATCTGAAATTACACTCTCTTCCTACTCATCCCAGGCTCATCCCTCCACTGGAGCCCAGCCACTGGTGGTCTTGCTTCAGAATCATTTGTTAAGAGTCTATTTCTCCCATCAAACTTTGACTTGTTGACTATCACATGGGCTTTCTTGATCAAAAATGCAACCCTAGCTAAGTCCAGAGAGAACACTCAACTAATTGCTGAATTAAACTGGCAATGGCACAATCTGCAAGACACTTTAATTTTCTTCATCAACTAAAATATATCTCTTGCAGGAAGATTATTTTGTGAAAACAAATTGGAATGCCTACTATTAAAAGCCAGACTCATCTGGGGCCTCCTTTGCCAAAGCTGCCTTCCCCATCTGTTTGGAAATGCAAACGTGTTCCGGTCTGGATTAACCTGCCAGATAAACTGAAGGAAGGATGTGGAGTCTTAGAACAATTATTTGGCAGGAATTTGCTTTCTCAGCATCTTACTTTGAAATCCAGGAGTTGTTTGTTTGATCTCTGCCTGTGACTCAGAAACCAAACCCTTCTTATTTTGTAAGCTTATGCAACAAGGCAAAAATCATAAACAATATGCAAAAGGGTAGAATGTCCTATTTGTGAAAAGAACTTACAAAATCACAACATTTATCTTTGGAAATGGGTATCTTGTTTAAAAACATAGATCATTTTGAGAGTTCCAGTTAAACCATGGTGAATTTGTAATTGCACCCATTTTTCTTTCCTTTCTGGGATACCACTAAAACTGTAGCAATGGAACTGTTTAAAGATATAAGCTCCCAAGAACAAAGATGATACAAAAGGAGACTCTGAAAAAAGAAGTTGAAGAATTACAATACATTAGATGAGAAGGGGATGGAGCTGAATGCTCTCATTTAGTAGAGCACAGAAAGCTGAACTCCTGTGTCTGTAGAAGCAGATACCACTCGAGCTTGTCTTGGAAACTCCAGAAGGGCTCGGGACTTGAAAGCACAGGGTGCTGCAGGAGGCAAGGGTCAGGCATGCTGCTGAAATCGGGGATGCTGGCTAGGATTTTGTAACTGGAGCAGTTAGACCCATGGGTCCCTTCCAGTTCATGTAATCAGGGGATTCCTTATCTACTATCTCTATCCCCCTGCTTGACACAAGGAACCAGAGAAGCTTGACTAGGAGATGTTAGGCCCGCCTGTAAGTTCTGGTAGAGAGGAGGTGATGAGGTGCATGCTTCAAGAGAATGAGTGAAGGAATATTTGCATCTTGAGTGTGGGTCCACCTATGACTGCTGTCAGCTGGGCTTAGGCACAGCCACACCTCCACCTAGCCAGAAGTAGAAAGGGACTTCTCACTGAAACCTCAGAGGAGAGACCTCCAAATTCTGCTGGGAAGGAGAATCCTCCCCCCAGTGAAAACACCAGATCTTCATGCATCAGTCTTCCTTGAGGAGCCTTCAGTTGACAAGTTCCACTCATTCATACAGAAGTTTAGTATTTCACACTTACACATGAGCAGAAGGTGAAGTCAGACCTGCTAATGTGGAAGATAGCAAGACCAAACAAATAGCACTGAGGGTCTCTAATAAAGCATGGGCAATGCCGAAAGTAGAACATTTTCTAATCTTTTCATAAGTTCTTCAGGTATAAGAGAGAAGATATAGTGACTATAAAACAGAACAGCATGCAAAAAGAAGGAATAATTCAATAATAAGAAAGAGATTTTGGAAATTAAAAGTAGATGAGCCAAGATAAAAATGTCAATAGCTGAGATAAAGCTGCAGAAATCTCCCAGAAAGTAAAACAAAAAGAGATGAAAATAGAAAAAGAAAATATAAGAAAATGAGAATGTCCAACATTCAACCTCCTAGTAAGAGTTTTAAAGAGAGCTAACAGGAAAAAGTGGAGAGAAAAATTTCACAAAGAAAACAAGAAGTGAAAGGTATAAGCTCAGTGCTATGAATTTCTTAAAAAAGAAGAGAAACTCATACCATGGTCTATTCATGAAAATTACCAAAAAAGCTAGAGATAAACAAACAATCCTAAAATGGTTCTGAGAGAATAAAACAGGTCTAATTTAAAGAATGAGCTTCTTAGGTGGAGTTAGTAGTAAAGAACTCCCCTGCCAAGCAGTAGACATAAGAGACAAGGGTTCGATCCCTGGGTCAGGAAGATCTCAAGGAAGCGGGCATGGCAACCCACTCCAGTATTCTTGCCTGGAGAATCCCATGGACTGAGGAGCCTGGTGGGCTACAGTCCATAGGGTCACACAGAGTCGGACACGACTGAAGCAACTTAGCACACACGCACACCTATGGTGTAAAGAATAGGAAGTAAGAACAGCTTCAAACATCTTAAGTGATGCTGGAATCTAGAAGACAAAGAGGAAATGCCTTTGAAATTTGGCAGGGAAATTCTTTCAAGCCAAGAATTTATCAGAGGTAAAGGGACAATAAAGGCATTTTTACTATGTAAGGGGCTTCCCAGTTGGCGCTAGTGGTAAAGAACCTGCCTGCCAATTCAGGAGACATAAGAGATGTGGGTTTGATCCCTGGGTCGGGAAAATACCCTAGAGAAGGAAATGGAAACCCCCTCCTATTCTTGCCTGGGAAGCTCCACGGACAGAGGAGCCTGGTAGGCTACAGTCCATGGGGTCATAAAGAGCTGGACATGAATTAATGACTAAACAACTATGTAAGACTCAGAAGTTTCTCTCCCATTTGCCCTTACTGAGGAATCTATCAAAGATGCTCCAGCAAAACAAGGAGGTAAACCAAGAAGACTAGGAATCCAGGAAAGAAGGGATCCTAGACAGGACAAAGTCCCAGAGAAGAAGAGACCCGTGACAACCACTGACCTAGACAGCAGTCTATGCAGCCTGGAAAAAGAGGATGGAGAGCTTTTGGACTGAGATCCCAGGAGCCTAAAAATGGACCCACGTGTTTGAGGAAACACTATTGTTAAGCATTTTAAAAGAGATGTTAAAGCATTTGGAAGAAACTAATGAATGGTTCACAGAAAACAAGGTAAATGAAAAAATCAGTCAGTTATTAATTTCAGGAAGTAAATGAAGGTTGTACAAAAAGGGGCCACGGTTGGTTCAACAGTGAACAATATGTTGTGATCAAAATTTTTAAATCTTGGCAATTAGTTTAACCAAGAAATGATATAATGGTGAAAAGATAGGAGGAAAAAGGGAGTAAGAGCTAAGCCCTCATCTGTCATGGCAGGGAAGTTAATAGATGTCAAAAAGATATATCTGGAAATAGCATTATAACCATATTATTTACAAAGAGCCATACTAAAGGACAAAGGGTGTGGGAAGTTGGGGTTGAGGATAAAGATGGATGAGGAACAGCTGTTTTTTTTATCATTATGTGGTATGTTTCTTCAGTTGTGTCTGACTCTTTTGTGACCCCATTGACTGTAGACGACCAGGCTCCTCTGTCCATGGGGATTCTCCAGGTAAGAGTACTGGAGTGAGTAGCCACGCCCTCCTCCGGAGGATCTTCCTGACCTGGAGATCAAACCTGAGTATCTTATGTGTCATTATAGTGCTATTTAAAGTAAAGAATATATAAGAGATGGGAATGCCAAATCACTTTACCTGCCTCCTGAGAAACCTGTATGCAGGTCAAGATGTAACAGAACCAGATATGTAACAATGTACTGGCTCAGAATTGGCAAAGGAGTACATCAAGGCTGCATATTGTCACCCTGCTTATTTAACTTACATGCAGAGTACATTGTGTGAAATGCTGGGCTGGATGAAGCACAAGCTGGAATCCAGATTGCAGAGAGAAATATCAATAACCTCAGATACGCAGATGACATCACCCTAATGGCAGAAAGTGAAGAAGAACTAATGAGCCTCTTGATGAAGGTGAAAGATGAGAGTGAAAAAGCTGCCTTAAAACTTAACATTCAAAAAAACAAAGATGATGGCACCTGGTCCCATCACTTCATTGCAAATAGATGGGAAAACAATGGAAACCATGACAGACTTTATTTCCCTGGGCTCCAAAATCACTGCAGATGGTTACTGAAGCCATGAAATTAAAAGATGCTTGCTGCTTGGAAGAAAAGCTATGACCAGCCTAGACAGCATGCTAAAAAGCAGAGACATTAGTTTGCCGACAAAGGTCCATCTAGTCAAAGCTATGGTTTTTCAAGTAGTCATGTATGGATGTGAGAATTGGACCATAAAGAAGGCTGAGCACAAAATAATTGATGCTTTCAAACTGTGGTGTTGGAGAGTTCTATAGAGTTCCTTGGGCTGCAAGGAGACCAGACCAATCAATCCTAAAAGAAATCAGTCCTGAATATTCATTGGAGGGACTGATGCTGAAGCTGAAGCTCCAATACTTCAGCCACGTGATGCGAAGAACTGACTCATTAGAAAAGACCCTGATGCTGGGAAAGATTGAAGGCAGGAGGAGAAGCGGGTAACAGAAGATTAGATGGTTGGATGGCATCACTGACACAATGGACTTGAGTTTCCGCAAGCTCAGGGAGAGGGCGAAGGACACAGAAGCCTGGCATGTTGCAGTCCATGGTGTTGCAAAGGTTCGGATGTGACTGAGCGACTGAACAACAACATACATGGATTAAAATTAATTCAAAAGACAAAGTCATAATGGGTATATATTTAAAAGTAGATTTTTGGGTGTGTTGGAAATGGTAGTGGAAGGGCACTGGGAGGCCCTGTTTCTGTCCTGCACTGTTGCTAACTCACCCTGTGGGCAAATCACCTCCCTCTCCTGGCTCAGCTTCCTCATCTATAAAATGAGTCGGCGGCTGGACTAGAAGATCTTTAAAACCCCTTCTCAGCACCAACATTCTATAATTTGGGGCTTTTCAAAGTATCAGACCAGTAACCAAAGCTATGTTTGGCTTTGGGTTTACAAAAAAATACTTATAAGTACAAAAATTTAAGTCATATGGTGTTTGTTTGAAAGTCTTGTACTGGCCTCACCCACAAGCTTACCCTCTGAGGAAAGTGGACTCAAGCTAGCATTGCCAGAAATAACAAAATTGAATTAAATTAAATTAAAAAATTTAAAAAGAACACATCCAGTTAAATTCGAATTTCAGATTAACAATGAATAAAGGAATTCCCTGGTGGTCCAGTGGTTAAGACTCTGTGTTTCCACTGCTGAGGGCAAGGGTTTGATCCCTGGTTGGGGAAATAAGATCCCACAAGCTGTGTGACTGGGGCAAAACAAGCAAACAAAAGCAAAAAACCATCTACAAATAATTTTTAGTATAAGTAAAGAACAAATATTTGTTGTTTATCTGAAATTCAAACTTAACTGTCCCTTGGGGTATCTTCCTCTTCAGTTATGTTCCAGTTATGTGACCAGTTACTCTGGAGACGGCAGATTGGGCAAGGGCCTGGTGCTCTAGTCCAAGGGCCCCCAGATAAGGGGAAACCAGCAGCTTATGAGGAAGCTGGTTGTAAGAATTGCACCCAGGAAGGGCTCTTTAATACAGACAGTGGTGTCTCACCAGCCAATCCGATTCTCTCTCTTTCAGCATTTTAAATGTGAGCCCTCCTTCAAAGGGCTGGTAAGCATTTATGAAAGTGTGGGGTGAGGAGACCCAGTACAGAAGGGAAACTGACTCAAGAATGCTGTGGTCTGTTTATGAGTCAGTGTTCTCATAAAGTAGACCGACAACTTCTCTGGTGCAGAAACTGTGCCTCATTCACTCTTGAGTGCCCAGTACGAAGCCTGGCACAGTATGGGTGTGTGAACAGTATGCAACCCTGCCCTCTTGCCACATATCATCATTTCAGACAGATTTGTAGCAAGGCTAGGAGGATGAATGTACAGAGTCTGGGGAGAGAGGTGATTTAATGTGATTAAATTTATTCTCATCCAGGCTCTCTGCCAAGTGCTCTATGTGCATCCTCTCATTTAAGCCTCCCAGCGGCCCTATGAAATGGTTATGACCCTCATGTTATAGATGAGAAAAACTCAGAGAGGTTGAGTAACTTGCTTACGGCCACACAGCTACTTACAGGGGGTCAAGATTGGAACCCAAGTCTGTTTGGCTCCAGAGCCAGTGTTTTCTCCATGGACTCTGCTGTCCATGTGTTAGACAGGAGAATATGGGTGAAATGGTGCTCTGAAGATTGTAAAATAACTATGAAGTCCGTATAGTCTGCTCTAACCCCAGCTCTTGCTGTGTTTTCAGGAAATTAGTTACTTCCAGTTTCCGGGAGAGCTCTTGATGAGGATGTTGAAGATGCTGATCCTCCCACTGGTAGTCTCCAGGTGAGGGGCGGGTGTTCGGCTGGGAGGGCTGGGGTGGGGTTTCCGGGAGAGGCTTCTGTACAGATTCCATCTGGGCCCTGCTCCTGCGGTGGGTGTCTGGACTGCAGGCTCCGGATGGCACGGATGGCACAGATGGCACGGTTGTAGGGTCCTTATGGGGAGGAAGCTGTGGCATGGGCTGCTGGAGTCTGGCTCATTCAGTGGCACCGGTTGCTTCAGTCCCTTTCAGTGGACACTTTGTTGACTTAATTTGGAGTGATTTGGAGTCCTAGAAATTGACCTGACTCCAGGGTAGCTCAGGGTCAGGGAGTTCAGGCCCTGCTCCCAGGGAGAGAGGCTCTAGGTGATAAATGCAGCGAGGCATGGGGTAAAGGTGACCTTGGAAACGATCACAAGATGATATCCTGGCTCAGCTATGTGCTGTACTTGCCTGCAGAAACTTGGACAGGTTGTCAGACTCCTCTGAGCCTGTTCCCTCATCTGTAAAATAAGAAAAAAAAAATCTACTCCAAAAGGTTGCTGTGAGGACCATTGGAAGCTATCTATTTGCTAAACATTCAAGGACTGAGCACAGGCTTTGAGGGCAGACAGGTGGTAGATGAAGCTGGAGGATGGGTTCTTCATCACGAAAGACCTTGAATGCCAGGCTAAAGCATTCAGTCTTTACCCACTGGGGTGAGGGCCAGTGTAAATCCTTGGAGGTCACCTGGTCTCTACCACAGAAGTGCTGGTGAGTTTGACCAAGGCCCTGGTCCTCTCTAGGTCTCAGAATTTTCAAATGTATAATGAGTTGGTGGCTTTAGATGGTGTCCAAGAGCCCTTTGCTCTGAGACCATGGGTTTAGAACCCTTTCCTCCCAGGACCTGTGTGTAGGGAGGGAAGTGGACAAGCCTCTGAAACCTGGATTCAGGGGGCTCCTGGATGTAGGGGGCTCTGTCCCCCTGGGCAGGGTCATTAGCCTTCTTGGCCTCCATACTGCTGAGGAGGGAGCCAGCTGCTCTCCCCTGCCCCTCTAGGGTGGCAGAGATAATAGTCCCCCATTATCTAAGAGGCCAGCTAATGGTGCTTTCTGCTGCCTGTAGGAGGCCTTGCCAAGCTCATTTCATCTGCATGCAGGCAGCATTTGGGTCTCTCAGGACTCAACCTTCAAGGCTCTGCTAAAAGGCCATTTCCCTCCAGAAACCTTCCCTGACTCCTCAACTGTCTTCAGTGGTTGCCTCCTCTTCATGCATCTTTTGAGTCATTCATTAAGTCAGGGAATCTGTCAAGGTCACCAGTAGCCTCCCTATTGCTACATCCAAAGGACACTCTGAGTTCTTGCTCTGCATGACCTGTTCACAACATTTCATACACTTGATACAATGATTGGTCACTCTTTCCCTCTTAAAACACTCCTCGCTATGACCTTACACTCTCTAGCTTTGTCTGCTCTCTGCCCCTTCATCCCAGTTTCATCCCCCTCTAATCAACCTCTGAATTGCAATTTCTCAGGCCTTTTCTCATCTGTCCTCATGGCTTTAACATACCACCTATAAGCCAAGTTAATAGACCCCCCGACCTCCCTTCTGAGAATTACTCAAACTACCTACCTGAAACCGTGTGTGTGTGTGTGTGTGTGCACGCTCAGTCATGTTTAACTCTTTGAGACCCCATGGACTGTAGCCCACCAGGTTCCTCTGTCCATGGAATTTCGCAGGCAAGAACACTGGAGCGGGTTGCCATTTCCCGCTCCAGGGAATCTTCCTGACCCAGGGATTGAACCCATGTCTCCTGCATTTCCTCTATTGACAAGCAGATTCTTCACCACTGCACCACCTGGGACATTGCCTTGATATTGACTTGATATTTCATGAGGATTTCAATTTAGCGTAATCAACATGAGATTTTTGGCCTGTAAACCCATTCCTTTTCCTGTTTTCTGCTTGTCAGTAAGCGGCAGCTCCACCTACCCAGTTATTCAAACCTCTATGTTTATTCTCTTCCCCACCCCAGCTCATCCATCAGTGACTCCAGCTGATTCTTCCCCACAGCTAGAACCCATCGTCATCCCCACCACAGGTGCAGACTCCACTGTGACGTCACTGGTCTCCAGGCTTGGGTTTTTGTTCCCCTCCCATCTCTTCTCCACCTGGTGTCCAGAATGGTCTCATGAAAAGCGCCTCCGGCCATGCCATTCATTCCCCTAAAACCCTTCAATGGCTCCCAGGGCATTTAGTATAAACCTCACATCCTTAACCTAACTAGCAGGCCCTTCAGGGTCCTCACAGCCTGTGCTCCACCTGGTCTCGTGCCTCACTCACTCCAGCATCCTGGCCTCTTAGCTTTGTAAGCAAACCAAACCCTCCCCATCTCAGGGTCTCCACACATCTCAGGGCCTTCCCTCTGCCTGGAGCCTGCTTCCCCAACACTTTCCATGTCTTCCCCTTCCTCTTCCTTTAAATCTCAACTTCTATGTCACTGCCTTAGAAAAGCCCTCCCCACCCATCCCGCTTCACTGCCACCTTCACTCTCCCCCATCATGCCCTCTTCCTTTTCTTGCTTAGCACTTACTATGTGTTATTATTCTATATGTATGTCATTGTTAACTTGTCTTCCACTGGACTATACTTTCTGCGAAGGCAGAGGCAATATTCTGTTGAGGTTCCACCCAGGAACTTGTCAAATGCCTGGCGCGCTTTAAGTGCTTATTAATACTTGCTGAGTGGATTAATGAGTTCAACAATTGTGCTTTCTGGCATGTGGCCCTGTACTGAATGCTGTAGATGCAGAGATGAATGAGGTTCTGTTTACTAGGAGCTCACAAGCTATGAGGGAGACTGATGAAGAAATAGACAATTACACAACAGCCAAATAAACATGCTGCCGGAGGAACACAGTACTCTGTTGTTTTGTTTCCTTTTCCCCACTTGTATAGCAATATTATGGGGCATCTTCATCACCCTTTATTGTTGACCTTACTCACTGCCAGGGTGTTGCCTCTTACTCATAACAGAAACACTTCAAATGAAGTGGCCCTTGCATGGACCCTGGAATCAGGCAGACCTGCCTGGGTTCACATCTGATATTTCCTAGCTGTGTGACTTTGGGCAAGTTATTTAACTTAAAAAAAAGTCCCAAAGTCAGGGTCAAAGGCCTGGGTCCTAGGTCTGCTTCTGCCACAATCACCAGGTGATCTTGGGGCAGGCAAGTTTACCTGGGCCTCAGTTTACCCAGGCTACCCAGTGATTTTAGGCCCATCCAGCTCTCTGAGTCCTGGCTCTCAAAGGCCTGGTCTCACGCCACCAGACTCAAGCGCTTTCTCTTGGCTGAAAGTGGAATGTGGTATTAACTTGAGAAAAGCCAGTGTGTGTTTATATGTTTCATGTGTTTATATTATATAGTTTGCGCTGGTGCAGAGCAACCATGTCACTGAAAAATGAAAGTGCTGTAAAACTTCCCTATTAAGGGAGAATTAAACCTTCTTGGGAGAAAATGACACATTTCTGAACGCCTAACTGCTCCATCCCTGAGCCTGTCTTCCTTTAGCTTCAGCTGGTCTGTAATCCATCTGCCCATCCATCACCCATGGTTCTCTGAGCTCTTGCTCTTGACCAGCCCAGGGCCAGGCATTTTTATCCTCAAGGAGCAGCCACTCTGGTTTGGGCTGCTCGCTCAGGACAGAGCAAAATCACCAAAGCAAATTTGAAAATTCAGCTGTCAGGCCTCATTCCCAGCTTGCTGAACCAGAACTGCCAAAGGGCCCAAATGAGTTTGTTTTAAAAGTTCCACATGTGTTCTAATGGTTTGAAAAGAAACCGTGATGACTTGGGATCAGAACTTCTGGCTGGATAGCTAAAGAGCCTGGCTTGAGGGCTGTTGCTCTTCTGTTCCCGGGCCTCCAAGCTGTACCCCCAGGAGACAGAGGCTTCCTGCTGTGTAAATTGCTCCAGGGCAGTGCAAGGACACACATCAAGGCACATTTGCTTCAATTCCAGTAACCTGCAAGTTGGGGTCCCAAAGCCTGGCACCCATTCCCTTCTTCCTGGAGAATCTGCCTCCCTTCCCTACACCAAGCCCCTGGTATCAGGCTGGTCCCCTCGTTAGTTTTTAAGCATGCCACATACCACCTCTGCTCAGGCTGCTCCCCTCCCACGGTGCCCTCTTCACCTCTTAATTAAGTCCCCCTCTATGTTCACAAGGGTATGGATCACTAGGGGTCACCTTAGGGTATGTCCACCTGTTTTCTGTCTCCATACCTTCCTTCTCTCTACCCCTTCAAGACGAGCCAGAAATCCTACCCTCCTTGTCTTTAAAAGTCATCTCCACTCACGCCCTATTCCTGGAGTGGGGTTGGGTGGAGGTGCTTCCCAGCTTCTGGTCATAGTGGCTCATTGAGGAATTTCTTCTGAACACGGGCAACCTCCTTACCATAAAAAGGATCCTGAAGAATATGAATTCGTCTCTTTCTCAGGGACATCACAGGGTCTGGTACATTGTATGTGCCTAAGAAATGCTTTTTAAATGAACAAAGAGCAGTGGAAGGAAATTGAGGCAGAATTCAGGCAAGGTTTATGACCAACGTTTGAACAGTGATTCGGAGTTATCTTTTTAAAATGGTTTGCACTTTAAAAAGTTACATAAGCAAATTACAAACACTGTGGATAACAAACAATCCTATCATTCCACATCCCTAATTCTGCCCCTATTCTTTTTCCTGAAAATGTTTGTTCTTGTCTTTCTTATTAGTGAATTCACTAGGCCCAGGGTGTGGTCCTTGGCTTACTGATTCAGAAACTCAACCTCTTCTGAGCCCCTGAATTGGTCATGCCTGTCCTCTGATACCGGCAAGAAGCAGCCAAATAAACCAAATGTCAATTTCTTCATCCACAGAGATAAATACAATTGCCAAGGAGGACAAATGCACCCAGCCTCTGGCCAGAGCACTTCTCCCTATAGACTCATCACTTGGGGACCTCACTGGTTAAATCTGTGCTGGCAGGACAATTATGTAACAGTATAAC